ATCACACCCATAAGCTACACCCTGCCGGCAGCAGATAATTTTTCCTCATTGGCCACCCTCCAGAACTCATGGATGTTCCTCCCAGATGGGAGTATAAAAGGAGGCTCCCAGAACCATGCCACTGGACTCTGCCAGGCTGTGGGGAAGGTGAGAGCCCTCCCCATCCCAAGGGACCCATCCCTGGCAGCCGACCTCCACTGCCCAACCACCACCACGCTCCAGGCCGCTTTCCAGACCACGGGGCCGGGAAGACACTTATAAGACATTAGAAGACACTTCCTACCCATTCATGCCTCTCGGAGAGCACAGCAAGCTACCGAGAGTATTCCACTTGAATGGGCAGAGCCTGGAAAGCTCCCCGTGGCTTATTCGATATGCCCAAAACAGTAACGACAACAGGTCTTATTCCCCTGACTCTGAAAGAGCCTTCAATCGTTGGGAAAACATGAATAAGAAGAGGCTGCTAAAATCTCAGTGCTGGGAGGAATAGAGACATTACTGCTGCCCGCTCAATAATTCGACGACCAACAGGATGACAGTGACAGTGATAGCTTTTCCCATGTGGATGATTCTGAAAGCATCTCCCACAGGGCCTGGTTTCCCCCTAAGGAGAGGCTTCTCCTCAGGCCACTGCGCCTCTCTGCTCTGCCAGCCTCAGGGTCATCCATCACTCTGTGTTTCTGCCGCCTTGGGGTCTGTTTTCTCCCCAACTGATGCTCAATACCACGATTCTTCTCATCATGCTAGACTGTAATCGAAGGAGATTCACCACAGCACAACAGACACGGCGATGACACAGTCCCCCAAATGATCACAATTGATGCCAAAAAAGTGAGGAATCACCAAAATGTGTCAAGAGAGACATAACTGACCCTTTGAGCATGTTTCCAGGGCACCTTTGGCAGCTCTTCCCTCTGCCCTCCGTAGCCACATGTGACCTCCGAGGCTTCACACCCCTCGTCCTGCGGGTCACCAGCAGAGCTACTGACAGCGGCAGGAGGGAACTGAAGCTCAGCTCACTGCCCTTGCTCCTGCCATGAAGAGCGAGGCTGCGAGTTCGATCCCTGTTGCTATCCACATGCCCCTGAGGGCCCTGCCACATGGCACTACCATTTGGGACCCAGGTGCCACACAGTGCCACAAAAACCAGTACCGCAACTCAACTCCCAGTCGCCAGGATAATAAAAACAAACGAGATGTGGCATGCAGGTAAGTAAATTTCAAAATACAAGCAACCAGGGCTGGTTTGATTTTTAGCGTGAGTAGGAACATCACGAGTTGAAGGAGATGTGGAAGCAAGTGTTGGGAAGCTCGTCTGAAGAGCTGGCACCTGCATGTGGCTCTCAGGCTGCGTGGCAGCAAAGGGCTGGGTATGCGAACCAGGCTTGGGAATGGCTCTCTGGACCACGGACGGAGGTCGGAAACCCAGAGCATCCTTGGAGGAAAACAAGTCAGGTCATGGAGATGAACCAAATGCTTCAGCTAGAGGCTGTTACACATGCACGCCATAGGATTCAACCTCAATGGTTGGTTTCCACACTTATCATTCAGTCCTTTTCTTCAGTCTGAATGCCAGGCATGCATCATTACAGGACAGTTGGAATTATGTGGCTCCAAAGATTATTACTGAAAGTGCATATTTATATTTGTGCATGTAGATTTCGTGTAGAGGTGTGTGTACACATTGATGTATACATGTGTATTGTTTTCACTGAGCTTATGTGATCCTTCTTAAGCGTGAGCTCATGCCCAGTGTTCTAACAACTAACTCAGGGAATTACCGCTTAAGATCCAGATTCTAGATGTGAAACTTTCACAAAAATATTGAAGACTAGTGCTTGAGCGATAGTCCAGTGGGGAAGGCACTTGTCTTGCACGGTCAACCTGAGTTTGATCCTCAGCATCCCATATGGTCCCCTGAACACCGCCAGGAGTGATCCCTGAGTGCAGAGCCAGGAGTAACCCCTGAGCACTGTCAGGTGTGGTCCCCCCAAAATAATAATAATAATAATAATAATAATAATAATAAAAGACCACTCAGTCTTAGTATGGTGCATTCTCTTTTCACATAGAATATGAATGCCATCAGAAATAACTATAACCACTTCAGTATAAAATGTGACTTTTTAGAGAAGGCCAGCTCACACACTTTATCTACAGTTTTAGCCTCTCCATGTTGCTAGTTATACTTGAGGAAACACACATGTTGGTGATCTTTTTCGTTCATCTCCATAAAAACTGAGATCCATTTAATTTCATTAATGAGACACAGCCAGGTAAACGAAAAGTAAGCAGTTACTTTTACATGCCTGTCCAGAAAAAACCCTGAGAAGAGGTGTGATTTTAGAAACCTGAGCTAGCTGCTCTCCTAAAAACCTGCACCCCTTGGCTCTTATAGCATCTGTAAGCAAAATTACAAAAGGAAGAGTGACTGAGAATCAATACCTCAATGGCCACAAAAGCATCTCGAATAGGCATTGATTGGCCAGCATCAATCATAAGTCCTATGACTGGTCAGTAGTAACCCTGCTTACAAATAGAAATCCCAAGACTTAAAATGTTAGGGATCATGACTAAAGTTGACAGTAAGCTAAGACAAAGAAAGTCAGGAGTAGATCCGGGTGCATGGAATAATTTCCTCACTCCGTTTCCCTTATGACCACTTGTGCCACACTACTATCAAATTAAAAGCTAATCAGAATGGAGCGTACGCCTGGCTCCCTAGTCCCTAAATTCTGTCTTTATCCCCACTTACCCCTACCCACTCCAACAGATTTTATTATTTACCTGGCTCTGACATCAGAGCATCTTTAGTGAAAGCCAGGTGGATTTTGTACCACTTAAGCAAACAAAATACCAACTTCTGCATGCATGGAGGTGTTACAAATCTCTTGATGACGCTATTTTTCCACCAGGTGCTAAGTATAGGATTCCTACTGTGAGCTCTAGCAGAAGTCTGGTCCCATCCCAACTCATCCTTCCTTTCAAAGTATCATCTCCTCGGGTTCCTTTCTGATTCAGCTACTTCTGGTAGTGAAACCTTCCATAGATAACCAGGCACACATGCAAGAAACAGTCAGGACCGAGCAGATGGCACAGAGCAAAGTTGTGTTTGGAAACCTAGGACTACAGAATTCACTCCCCCATTGAGAGAGCCCTAAGGTGGCCTGCAAAAACAACAGTTGCAGATACTGATAACCTCTGTTATCAATAGAGGTTTGAGGCTGACCTCTACCATATCAATCGAGGCTGACCCTACAGTCATTTAGAAATCACCGTTTTAAATCCGAGACATCACCCCCATAAGAAGCGACCCCAGGGTGAAAAGACAAGGCCCTAAACCACGATCCATACGTCACTGTCCTTCAGTCCTTGGCATATGTTTTCATACACAACTCTAACATCTGCAATCTAACAAACAATGTCATCTAAATGTTCGCACATGTTTGGAACCCAAATCAGTCTGATCACCAAGCTGAAACACCCATGATTTCTTGGTGTTTGGTAAACCATCTAGTGATAGCAAAGCATTGATAAAAGCAAGACCCTTTAGTTACTCTGCAGAATATCACAAGTGCGAAGGCCCCTACATACATTGCAGTTAACATCTGACTTATTTCACACAAACCACAGTATATTGACAGTCATTCTAACATTTGCATGACTTATTTCTCAAGTGTTAACGCTCAAATTGAGCACCATAACCGGGTTCCCCATGCTCTCTCTGCTACATGGAATCAAAATATCAGTGAATTTTACATAAATCTTAGTCACACCTATTTCTTATTACAACCTAAGAAGCACAATATCGACAAACCGAAAAAATACGCAATCACAGAGAAATGATTCCTTTATAAAACTCTCCTTTCCCCATTACAAATGACTCTGCCAGTTCTCTCGTTGCTTCAATGTGATAATCTTTATTTTTCTTTTCTTTTTTTTTTATTTTTGGGTCACACCTGGCGATGCGCAGGGGTTACTCCTGGCTCTGCACTCAGGAGTCACTCCTGGCAGTGCTCAGGGGAACATATGAAATGCTGGAAATCGAACCCGGGTGGGCTGCGTGCATTGCAAATGCCCTACCTGCTATGCTATCTCATAGTCCCCAATGTGATAATCTTGCACTTAAAAAATATAACTATATTTTTAGCTGGAGAGAGATAGTCCGGAGGGTAAGTCACTTGCCTTGCATGCAGCTGGCCCAGATTTAATCTGTAGCACGCATGTGTCCCCGTGGACTCCAGCAGGAGTGATCCCTGAGCACAGAGCCACGAGTAAGGCTGACCCCTGTTGTATGCGGTCCCAAACCAGATAAATGATACATAAATAAATTGAGAATGTTTTGCAATAATTAAGATTTCATTTTAAAAAAAGTGTGTGAACCAATATCACAGACACTCTTTAATAATATGTTAGAAGGAAAATTGACGTAAAAAGCCTAATTAAATAATTATAATACCTTCTGGCTTTGTTCACGAATATTATGCTGTATTGGGTCCTGGTTTGCCTTTCATTAAAACTTAGGAATCTGCATTTCTTGAAAGAAACGTCTTGCTTCTATAGGATACTTTTGCTTAAAAATTGTAATTTTCAGATCAAAGAAGTCCTTTCTGAGTTCCTCAAAGATCTCTTGGAAGGATCCATTTTACAATACTAGAGTTGCCTTTTCAGGCTTATTGATATTTAAGGTACAATTGGTTGCTTTTTCATAAACTAACTCTCAAATTACACATTTCAGGGGAGTGGAATCCGCTTCATTGATTGCGCAACTGATGACCAGTTGGAGTCTTTACACATTGCTCCTAACCAAATTCTAAGTAATTATTTTTTCTTTTCAGAATTTATCAAGTGAAAAGACACAGCATTAAAGATTTGGCTTTCAGTTGAACTGGAGACTGCTTTGAAGAATCATAAAGTTTTCATAAGTGCTTTTGGGAAATGAACATAGAAAACAAAGGAAGAAGGAGATAAAGATAAAAGGAAAACAAGCCCCTACTTACCAGGTGTGAAATTGTACCGAGCTGAAAAGCCTATGGACTCCAGCTCTCCATCAGCAAAAAATTTAATCCATAGAAATCTTCCACTGGACTTTATTACTGGTGGGTTCTGCTGTCCACAGAAACGTCCGATTATAGGAGAAAACCCAAAAGGTCCATCTCGAACTTCAATGTGGTCAAATTTACACTCCCAAGAAGGTTCGATGGAGTACTTCTCATCAAAGTAAAGTTCAATGCACTGTCTTGGAGCAGCTAAAAGACAAAGATTGTGTCTTAGAAGGGTTTTTCTTAAATATTTACTTTAACTATCTTGATGATACTTCGGATTTTATGTGTACGCCTTCGACCAAAGTTGGCATATGCAAAAATACAAAATGTCAAATTCAGCATTCAAAGGGATAATATTTCTATCAGAATGTCTATGAAATAATCCTTAAAATTCATTACTTTGCACAGAATATTAGTTTGAGATAAAACTACCATTTCTATGTCTCCTGTGGAACAGACAGATCACAATATTCTTAGCTTGTTAACTTGGATTTAGGGAAAAATAGAAAGGCATACTTCTCTGTCACTTTTACCACATTTTCCTGAGTATCAGCTTTAAGTCAGAAATGATTTGAGATTTGATCAGCCTACAGTACAAACCCTCAAATAGTCCCAAACAAATGTCTTGATTAGCTCAAAACCCACATCCAAGGAGATTAAGAGCAATTTTTCTAGAACAGAAAATAGGTCTCTCTTGGGTTTAAAATCAAAATCATCCAGCAGCAATCTTTTGGTTACAAAGCAATGATCAGCACACACAACATAGAAGATTCTGGCGAGTATTTTCTTACCAGTCCACACCCCCAAGATATTCTCCCTTCTCCTGCAGTCCAGATCAAGTCCCCTCATGAATGCCACTCTCTCTTAGAAAATCATGTTTCAGGCCTTCTGGAATTCTCTCACTTTCTTGAGTTTCTGTATCCAATATGCTAACTCCTGATTATGCAGAAAAATCTTGCTTTAAAAAACACCTAATTTCTATCTCTACTCATTAACACAAAAATCTATAGCTGTACCAAGCACTGATCTTTGTTTTTATCCACAACAAGAAGCTGTTTGGGATGAATTGCGATGAACTTATCTTCGGAAATGTTTGCTGGTTCCCTATGGAATCCTATAGAAAGCTCTATATACCTCCACCAAGATGTGTTTGCATTCTTCCCTTCATCTGTCAAAAACAAGTCAAATCTCTGCTACTCCAGACTGATATTCAGCCAGAAGACACCAGCAATAACTCTCTGCACAAATTGACCCCATCTAACTAATAGCTATTGCCTTGAGTTCTTCAGGCATATCCTACCTACACAGCACCAGTCCTTAAATCTCTATTACGTATCACCTCGAAGGCTTTAAAATGAAGATCTTGGGTAAACCATCCAGCAAGGAGAGCACTTGTCTTGCCTGACTCAAGCAGGTTTGATCCCGGACCCCACATCCTCATTTGTTCTCCAAGGATGATTTTCAAAATCAACCGACTAAAGGTCAATCAAAACTAAAAGCTATTTTAAGGATTTGTGCCTGTGTTCTAAAAAAATGAAAAAGTTCTTTGAATGGCGAAATTATGTTAACTAGGATTATTTTTAATCTCCAAAATATTTCTTTTCCTTTAAACATTGGAGACATACACAACCCTTGCAAGAAAAATCACAAATTGTTTTAACAACCATTAATATGGACAGTAAAAACCAACAAGTGACTACCATAGCGAGGTTGAGAGTATCAATACAAGTTTTACAATCACTTAGAAAAATCATGGGTTACCACTTAAAAAACAAAAATTCAATTGCTCAAGAAAACAAGCCTCACTTTGCATTAGGATTTGGTGCACCATTTGTTAAGTATGATTATCCCATAAAATATGCATGCGTTTCACTTGATTCATTCATAAACCAATATAAGTTTAATAAGAAAACCTAGAAAATGTTTTTTTCATTATTTAAAGTACTTTAAGTATTAGTCTTAGAATTTGAAACATTTTTTCTAGATGCAAATAATGTGTGGATAGGAGCAAAAGGACAATAAGAATTGCCTTCAAGCTGATATATATGTACATGCAGACATATATATACACAGAAAAATATATAGGGATATATACACCTATAAATATATAGTCTCCCTATCAGGAAATACCTAGTTACCTAACATGAATTCATAGACTCATGCCTTCCTTTTCATTATAACTTAAGTTCTGTATAACATGGATAAACAACCATCTCAATTTCCTTCCAAAAATATAGTACCATTCTGACTCTGGGTATCACGTTATATAAGGACAATTCTCTTTCCGTGGGTCCACTGTATAGAACTTCACTACACACCCTTCCACATGGATTACACTCGCTAACTTCCTGCTGTAGCTATTTTGGGGTTCCCCCTGGGCTGAGCTTGGGGTTCAATCCTGGTCGAAGGCTTGAGTTCTGCCGCGTGCAAGGCAAGCACCCTCCCTACTGTGTAGTCTCTCCAGCCCAAGACTTACTAAGCTTAAGAAGTCAAATTCCTTTTCAAAAATAAGAATAGCACATAATTCTTGTAGATAAAATTAAGCGAATGATAGACACTCAAGTGAAGCAGGAAATTCTAAATAGGACCAACTCCCCTAAATTCACATTCTCTTCCCCTTCAAATCCCTCACTTCCCAACTGCCTTTCGCTTTGACGCTTTTTGTATGCCATCTCTCATCTAAAGCGAGGCTCCGTCTGGAGAAGGGCCCCTGTGAGAATCTTTGGGCACAGTCAAAGCTGAGCCAGCACAACACAAGCAGACAGGGTATCATCTCCTGTGTGCAGGGATGCTCCAGTCACAAGAGATGCACAAAGGTTGTGGTAACCCCAGTCCATCTTGCCTCGGGAAACTTGACTGGTAATTCACCCTGCTCTTGACTACATATGCAGTCTTTTCCTTTACCTTTCCTACAGAACTGAATATTCTTTTCAGAATTAATCATGACAATTTGTTCCACTAAAAGAAGGGGAACATGGCTGAGAGGTGGCTTAAAGGGCTGAACGCCTGATTCACGTGGAAAATTCATCGAACCCCATGGTTCCCTAAGCATCACCAGGAATGAATTTTGAGCACAGAGTAGCCCTGAGTATCAACATGTATATAGTCCACAAGAACAAGGGGTAAAGCAAACAAGAAAGAAAGGGCTTTACTTCCATGGGTCTGAAGCTCACTGGGCCCACTATTCATTCCTCTACTATTCAATCTTCTACTCTCTGAGGGCTGGAGTGATAGCACGGTGGTAGAGTGTTTGCTTTGCATACGGTTGACCTGGCCAATCAGAGTTTGATTCCTCCGCTCCTCTCGGAGAGCCTGGCAAGCTACCGAGGGTATCTTGCCCGCAAGGCAAAGCCTGGCAAGCTACCCGTGAAGTATTCAATATGCCAAACACAGTAACAACAAGTCTCACAATGGAGACGTTACTGGAGCAAATTGATGAAAAAAGGGAGGATACTGCATAGTGCATAGTGCACTCTCTATGAATGGTCACTATTCCACCACATCGATGGGAACCATCCTAACGTCACCGGCAGCTTCTTTACAAAATCCTCACCTGCATGGTCCATGCAGGGCTTCTACCATATTCCCACATGGTAGTGACTGGTGCTCTGCTTTTCCGCAGCTTCTCACAACCCTGCCTACTCTTGCCACTCGGAACTCTTTAATGGGTTTTTCAGTTCACTTCCCTGGTTCCTACTTCCCAACCAAGGCCTCTCTTCTCTAATACATTTACCAGAAATCCACTCAATATTCTCATTTTCCCTCATCCTGTTCCAGTGCTCAATGTCCAGTGGCATTCCCAATAGGAAACTGTTCGAAAGATACTTGCGGCTTCATGAAAACCCAAGTAAGTCAGAAATCTTGGGCAGAGCCAGGCAGAGTTGAAATATTATGCTCCACACACGCTCTCTGGGCAATTTTGTTCATAACAGTCTCAAAACAAGCTCTGTATTTATGACCTATAAATATGTAATTCCAGGCCAGGCGTCCTCTATGAGCTAAAGATTCATAGAGTGAATATCTTTAAGAGACACTTCCATAAACAAAAATGGACTTTCCTCCAACAAACCAACAAGGCTGATCAAGTGCTGGGATTCCAGTACTCCCTCCCTGGACTCCTCTCCCAGCTCAGTTTCCTCATTCCTAACCACTCCCGTTGACTCTTCATCAAGGTCCTTCTGTAGTTTAGCCTTCACTGGTCTACTTGTTCTTCCCGATACTTTTAGCCTGGATGCTTATCCTTCAATCAGGTAGCAAAATTTCCCTTTGTTGTTGTACCAGTGCCCAATTCAGTAGGATAGATAGAAGCAATGTGTGTGTGTGTGTGTGTGTGTGTGTACTTATTTTCATATATATGCCTTCCTCCTCTCTTCTTCCTCACTGTGTGCTGAAAACCTGTACTACAAGAGGGTCCCTAACCATATCTCTGAACCTTTGCACCTGAGTAGCAGTTGGCTATGATCATTTCCCCAAGCGAGAATCAGCATCTCTTCTTCCTTATAGTCTTCTTCCATCCCTCTGTTCCTGCAGTACTGAACAGGAGGTGGGGGGTGGCGGGGAGACCCTTTAGATTTTTTTGCTAAAAGTAGCAGAGTCCCCAGCCCTTAATACAGAAACTGTAGCATGAGCTATCCATGGATTAATTGCTCAGTACTCTCTAAATTGTACCTGGAATAATGATAGATTCTTAACAGTTGGTCAATAAATATTTATTAAATAAATATGCAAGTACAAAGTAGCCAATTTGAAGCACTTAAAATAAGATAGAGGAGTATAACTCACAGTAATTAGAGGCTCTACTTATTTCCCAATAAGTTAGTTGTGTCCTGGACTTAGCTACTAAGAAATGTGATACTAAGAAATTTGAATCTGTGTATGGTATTAAAATCACATGTCAGCAATGTTTTTTTATTTTAAATAATAATAAACATAAAAGCATAATTAGCATGCAACTGTTGGTTTCAGAAGTATCTTTTAATAAATAAAATGAAAAAATGAATTGGTTCTTTTTTTAATGATTTGAAGCTCAGGGGAATTGTTTTGTTTGTTTTGTCTTGTGTTTGGACCACAGCAGATGGTGCCCAGGGTTTATTCCTGACTCTGTGCTCCGGCATCACTCCAGGAGATGCTCAGGGGACCATATGCAGTGCCAGGGATCAAATCCAGGCTGCCCACTTGCAAAGCAAGTGCCTTAACCCTTGTACTTTCTCTGGCCCCAATGATTTGCAGTTTTAAAATACTACTTATTCAAAAACAAATTATGTTAGGTGTATTTAGGAAAACTACTTAACATCTTTCTACTTCAGTTTCCGGATTGATGGGGGAGGACAAAATATCTACATTTAATATTTTTTTTAATTTTAAGCACTTATAAGTCTTACATGCATTTATCTTTTTTCTTTCTAAGAGAAACGCAATATTAATTTAATATAAAAATACTTCTTTTAACTCAGAATTTCTATATTTCTATATCTCAGCTCTTTTTCTATGAGAAAGAAAAATTGTCAAACTTCAGGATTTTTTAGCCTTATCCTTTTTTCATTGGAAGCTTCTCATTTTTTCTACTTCTTGTAAAGTGATTCAGTTTTTTCTAAAAGTTCAACTTGGAATGTAAGAAAAAGAGAAATGATTCTTGACGCAAAAACTAACCCCCAAATGGGGAGAACCATTTCTACCAAAAAATTCTAAAAATCAGTTTAATGAAAAGTTTTTTTCTTTGAAAGATCTCTCAAATGATCACGCCCTTATTTATGGGAAAGAGACATGCTGAGCACATGTGCTTCTTTCTTTTATATCCGTGTACTCGCACACATGTGCATATGTGTGAGAGGAGGAGTCTTTAAGTTTGGATCTATGATGCTTCTTATAAACTCTTATAACCTTAAATCTATCTCCTGATGAAATATAAATGGATGTGCACAGTGCACTACAAATAGGAAACATGTTCAAAGGCAAGTGAATTTTTCGAAGTCATTTATCCTTTGCCTTGGCAAAAATTATAAAAAGAAGAATCATAATTTTAAATCCTAACTTTGGCATAAAAATATAAAAATGTTGCTTGCTAGCACAAATTAAAGAAATTTTCATTCAGACTCATGTTCAGAAAACATGATCACAGATTTGCTTCTAACATTGGCATTGTGTTAGTGTCTTATGCCATATGAAATAGCAAATATATATATAGTGATTCTAATTACTATTAATCTAAGAAAGTATCAGCTTCTCTAAACATTCCACCTTAGCCAACAGTGTTCCAACTAGGCATCTATTTCCATTACTTTAGAATTTCAAATGAACTGACCCACTGCAAATAGAGAGAATTTTTATTTTATATTCCAGAATTTACGTGTTCAAAAATCCATTACTAATCAGTTCAATAACTAACTTGATTCCAGATTTCACAGTTATTTGTCTCACTCAGAAGTATTGATGTCCAGGATCTCCAAAACCAATCTTGCAATGTCTATATGCATATCACCCATCCAAGACCTAGAGCAGGCCAGGACTCAGCTTACCTTCTATGATGTAAATGCACTCTCTATCTGGGGGGTACTTGCTGGGGTAGTTGGGAGAGGTAAAGATCCCCCCCTCTGCATGTTTTGTCCAAGTTCCACACTGCACTGACTTCTGTGTTTCCGAGGTGGTTTGCTTTTCTATTAAAAAAAATAATAATTAATTAAAATGTTAAAGCTGCCATCCAGTCTTTAATAAAACTAAAAATGGAACATTGTATCAATATCCATGAGTTAATGAACTTCTAAATGTTGTCTTAGTCAAAACCAACCAATTGCATGCACTATAAAATGTTCAGAAATGCTGAGATTTTAAGGGTATGAGTGAAAGACATAGATGCAAATAGAAATCTCCCGATAGCATTTTCCCAGCCCAGGAAACACACCTGTTCCCTTCTTGGTTGCCCCAGATAAATGGAGGATGATTAAACTTGCTACAACTGCAACAGAAAAGCAGAATTAGAGCCGATCACATAAACCCGCACTGAAAGTTACCAATTCGATACCAACAGAAAGAGTTTAAAGATAAAAATGATACCTAAGCAGATTAGTTGCATTATTGTCTATGCTTCTGAGGTGACTCAGAACTTGTAAAACCGCTGCAAAAGGAAGAAATCGGGAAAATTTAGGCAGCGTCTCAGGAAGTAATGCAAGCGAAAAATGGATGAGACCCCCAAATCTCCAGGCCAACGCGTTCTTCAGGACTCAAAAAAGCAACCATGCAATCCACAGGGGCCTCGCTCCGGGGAGCTCAGGGCCCATAGCTCGGAAGCCACTCTGGAGAGAGGCAGCTGGTCCCGGGGAGGAGAGGAAGGCGAAGGGCGCGCGCGGAGATATGGAAAGGAACAGGAAACCATTAGAGAGGGCTGGGGCTGACCCTAACACCCTAGCAGAGGCTAATTTTAGAAAAGGAAATACTGAGGCAAATCCCAACCCGGGGAGGGGGAGGGGACCAGAATAACCCAGTGCTGGGATGGGGGGGGGGGGGTTCAAGTACCCCTCCACACAGTTACACACATACACACATTTTCCAGCATTTTCAGCATGCTCTAAGCTTTGAAACTAATCTCTTCCAACTTGAATTTGTACAGTCCAGAAGAGAGCCAGATCACTGTGTCGGGAAAGGTTTTCTCAGAGCGTCTTGCTGAGAACATTTCCAGGCTCAGCGAGGAGTCTGGTACGCAACTTAGGACCGAAATCCGCAAAGGCCTTTCCAGGGGAACTTGGTCCACTTCTCTGTTCTTGCTTCTCACCACCACACCTTTAGGACACGAGAGCTAGGCAGGAGTTCCAGGAACCTAGTCCTCTGGGGTTCGGACCTTTCCTTCCCCCCCACTGGGTTTTGGGCTCCCCAACCGCCCGGGAGCTCCGAGTGCCCGGCACGAATGTGCTTCTCGGGAACTGAGGCGAGGGAGGCGCGATCCATCACCCCTTCCCTCCGGGAGGGACGCGCAGGGGCTGAGCCTGGGGCTGGCAGGGGACTCCCCGAGAAGTGCGCAGCTGAACCCTCACTCCTTCCCACCTCTCCTGCTCTGACCACGCTCCGCCTGCCTGGCCACCAACACCTTGGTGGTTGTTATGGTCCACCTTGGAGCAATAGAAAAACCTGGCCAAGCCGTGGCTGCGCGCGCGTGTACACACACACACACACACACACACACACACACACACAACGCGCACACACACACGCGCGCGCGCGCACACCCGTTGGGACGTGCCGCTGGGGGTTGCTCGACCGTGCCCTTTGGCAGCGCGGCGGGGAGCGTGTACGATGATTAACACACCGGCCCGGCGGGCTTTGAACCGCGCGTCACAGGATTAACACTCTCACCCCGGCTCGCCCACGGGGACCGGCCGCCGCCGGCGTTTCCGAAACCCGCCTGGGGCCGGCGGACTTGGGAGCCGGCCGCCCCCCTCCCCTGCTTCCCCGCGCGCGCACCGCGGGGCACCCGCCGCCCCCCACCCTCGGGTCCCCACCCGACGGGGCGCCCCGAGCCCCCGAAAGTCCAGCGCCCCGGGAGCGCCCCCCCACACACACTCTCCCTTTCGTGCGCGGCCCCCAGGGCTCCGGGCTGGCTCGGCCCCCGGGCGATGCCCGCAGACCCCCCGAGGGCGCACGGTGCGGGGCGGCCCCGGGGAGCGGCGACATCCCCCCGCCCCCAACACACACACACACACACACACACACGCACGCACACACACATACGCATACACACACCCGCGGCCCGTCCTCCTGCCGCAATCCCGAAAGTTTCCCCGCGCCCGGGAGCGCCGGGCACTGCGGGGCCGCGGGACTCACTGTGAAACAGGCTGCGTCCATGGACCATGTCTGTGCGCTACACCGCGGGCTCCGGGTTCCACTAATGCCATTTAGAGGCGCCGACACTGCCAGGGGCGGGGAGAGCGCCCAGGGGAGAGGTTTTAAATATGCAAACCCAGAACGGCGGAATGAAAGGGGGGTGGGGGGGAGAGAGAGAGAGAGAGGGAGAGAGAGAGAGGGAGAGAGAAAGAGAGAGAGAGACGGGGGAGGGAGGATGGGGGAGAGGGAGAGAGAGAGGAAGAGAGAGTGAGACAGAGAGAGAGGGAAAGAGAGAGAGGGAGAGAGGGAGGGAGAAGAGAGGGAGCGAGAGGAGGGGCGGAGGGAGGGGAGGAGGGGGCACGGATCGGAGCCCACCCAGCTGCAAGGTCCGACCGTGCGTCCTGGGCCCGGCGGGCGCTCGCCGTCCCCCGCTCGCTCCGGGGCCGGCTCAGCGCGGCGCGGCGGGCAGCATCCTCCGGGTGACGCCCGCCCGCCCGCCCGCCCGCCCGCGGCTGGCTCACACCCCGGCGCCCGGCGCCCCCGGCAGCGCGGCCCGCGGCGGCTCCCTCCTCCCTGGCATCACCGCGGCGGCCGCAGCTGGCAGGGGAGGACGCGGCGCGCGGGCGGCGGCGGCGGCGGCGGCGGCGGGGGGCGCGGGGCTCGCCCCGGGGCGCCCCGAGTCGCGGCCGGGGCCCGAGGGGCGCGGCGGGGCGGGGGGCCGGTCCCCAGCCGACCGACGGCGGGCGCGGCGGGGCGCGGGGGCGCGCGCGGTCCCCGGCGGCATCCACCGGCGCGCGCGGCGGGTCCGAGCAGCCTCCCCGCGACGGCGTCCGGCGGCCGCGCGGCTCGGGCCCGGGGGGCGCTTCCGCGGAGGCCGCGGCGGCCGCGGGGACGCGGCTCGTCACGGGCTGGCCGGGCGCCGCGCGGAGCGCCGAGCGAGCGGGTGGGCGTCCGGGAGGGAGGAGGGGTGCGGGGCGGGGACGGAGGAGGGGACGCGGCGCGGGGAGTGCCGAGCCGCGGAGTTACCGGCGGGCGCCTGAGTCATCGCCGTGGGCTGCGCGACCCTCCGGGAAGCCGCGAGCCGGGGGTCGGGGGTGGGGAGCTGCCGGGGCGCGGCGCGTGCGGGGACCCCCGGGTCGGTGCTGGGCGGAACGGGGGAGGGGGCGGCGGCGGGGACAGTCCGCCCGATCGGGGGCGGGGGGCGAGGGCTGCGATCGCCTCCTCGGCCGTCCGCCCCCGGGGCCAGTTCCTAGCTTGGACCTTTGCGCCCCGGAGGGCGTGTGGGGGACTCGGGGGTTTCGGGCAGCTGCCTTGGGGTGGGGGCTGATTATGCACTTTTTGAGGGGATCGGGGGTGCGGGCCGCCGCCCCCTCCTCTCGCCTCGCTTTCCCTCTGCCTGGAGGGCCCTGGGCGTCGCTCGGGCCGGAGCCCAGACGTGAGCGCGCCGGAGGGAAGCGAAGGCACCGCCAAAGTTTTGCTCCTTTCCAACCCACCCTGACGGCAGAGGTCGTCGCCACCCAATGCTCCCGCGAAGACACGAGTGTTTTGTTGTTGTTGTTGTTGCTGCTGCTGCTGCTGCTGCTTGCGATTTTCTTCTCCCTCCCTGGGATACAAACCCCACCCCGCGTCCCCTCCGCGCCCCCCACGGGGTCCAGGGCGCGCGCCCCGCACTGTCCATCCCCGGGGGGTGGCGGAGTCGCCAGGCACAGCTCCCGGAGGAGCCCCGGTTCGGGGGGACGCCGTGCCAGGCCCCGGGGTGGGCAGAAGCCGGGCAGCCCCGGGCAGAGGCGGAGGCGCGCGCCGCGTGGGGGCGTCCCTCCCCGGGCGGGCGCTGCAGCGGCGCCGCCTCCCAGTCCGCTCCAGCGCTGCGGCTCTGTGCTCGGGGACTGTGGCCACCCCGGGATCCCGCAGACCCCGGCCACCCCCGGCCACCCCAGCCGTCGCCCCCGCAGCCCCGGGCGCGATCCCGCACCCCGAGCTGGGACTCCGGTGGGGAGGAACAAGGGGTGAGAAGGACGCTGGGAGCGAGTACCGCGGGGCTGCTAAGACCGGGGGTCACCTCCAAACAGGACGGGAGGCGGCCAGGATAGGAACTGAGCTCGCCGAGTCCGATTGCTGCCCGCGCCCCGCCGCGCGCCCCCTCCGGGCACCTGCTGCTGATGCTGATGCTGATGCTGATGCGGCGGCGGCGCGCGGATGCTCACGTGGACGCGCGAGCGGGGGAGTGCAGGGGGCGCGGAGCTCCCGGGTCCTGCCCGCAGCCTCTGTTGCAGGCGGTGAGGAGAGGGGTGAGGCCAGAGGTCTCGGGCGGGCATTAGGAGGAGGGTGAAGAGACCCGGGAGTTGAGGACTGGGGTGGGGGCGTGGATTCCACGCACCATGTGCAACCTGCAGGACTCGGCTGTAGCCGGGGCGTCTGGGTTCCAGCAAGATCCCGGGGATTCGCTTACGGCGCTGCGTAATCATCAGCTCCAGAAACGGCGGGGGTCGAGCCAGGGGGAGGGATGGGGAGACCGTGCGCCTTCGAGGGGTTCAGAAGAGAAGAGAGAGCGGGGAGAAACAGGATGAACCCGCGGAGAGAGCTGGAGGCTGAGACTGGGGCCAGGCAAGAAGAGAAGTGCGCTTAGCTCCAGAAAAGCGCCTGGGGCGAGCCGTTTCCCCGATGGGGAAGGGGCTCTCCAGGACCCTGTGTCCATCACGTGCCCTCTCGAGAACTTGGACCCGTGCACACGTGCGCGCGCGCGCGCGCGACGGGGTTAGCGAGGGTGCCGAGGCACCGTCCGGGGTGGAGGCAGGAATTAGCCAACTGCAAAGGAGGACAAGGGCCAAAACGGTCCAGGATGAGGATGGGTTCTGGAGAGGATGAAGACAAAGGAGGTGGGGCTGAAAAGACGGTGCTGAAAGTTGATAGTGGATGATTGAAATCTCTAATTTGGGAGGGAATTATTCTTTACGTATAGAAACATGCCTGCTCTAGGAACACGATAAAAAAAAAATCCTCCATGACAGTGACGAAGTTAAGGTCACTGCATTTCTCGTTGCAGTTTGAAGATACAAGAATGGAAATGGTCACCGCTAAATCTGCCCATTCACGTCCAAACTTTTCCTCCTTTTTGCCCAGCTTGGTTTCTCGGGACAGAGTTTATTATCTGGCCAAAGAAGTGGACACTCTTTCTTAGACTATTCTCGTTTTTTGTTCGTTTGTTTGTTTGTTTTAAATGTATATATATATATATATATATATATATATATATATAAAGGCCCTCCCGTTGATCGTCGATTTGCTCGAGCGGGCCCAGTAACGTCTCCATTGGAGACTTTGTTGTTACTGTGTTTGGCATATATATATATATTATATAGGAAAAGGGGGCTGGAGAACCCAAGAATTTTCCTAAGTGCTCATTCCTGCACCATAACACAGTGGCCTAAAATCAAGTTCTTGCAAATACTGGCCTCTTTGGTCTTTGAATCCAGATTCTCTCCTGGGCACTTCTTGGAGCCAAAAGATTTCAGTGCCTCTCCAAGCTTAGTGCTGAGAAATGAGTTGTGTTTCCTGGATCTGGTTCAGACAGCTGGAGACCAAGAGGCACAGATGCCGAGACTTTGCTCTGCCCGTCCTCCAGTGCCAAGGCTGCAGCTCTTTCTCTGAAGGGTCTATTCGGATTCTGACATAGGGTGGAAGAAACACCTCTATCCATCCACTACACCCTGCCTGCCTGGCACAGTGCCTGTTTAGGGTTGAGTTCTGGCCCAGCCCTGGCTGGTCACAGCTCCCTTCCTACTGAGGACCCATTAATTCTTCCTTCCTGGGGAAAAAAAAATAACATGGGGAAAAGATCAGCTTCTTCAAGGAAAGGTTATGAGCACATAAAGTCATTTCACAATGTGATCATTTTTGAAAAGGAGAGTTTATACACGGATACCCTTTGATAGTTTTGCTAAAAAAACGGTGTCCTAGGTGAGATCTTTATCTCAGCTCTCCAAGACCAGCAGTTGAAATAGATGATACTTCCTGCAGAAGGAAAAAATCAACACTTCTTGAACCCAATAGTGTCACTGGTTTTCTAAAGGTTAAAAGCTTGCACCTTGTAACTGTGAATTGGAAGAGGATTACCCTAGGCAATGGAAACAGTATTGCCAACACCCCTGGGGGAATTAGTGTCAGGGAACTTGTTCTCCTAACTAAAATATCTCAAAAATCATCTAGTGTTTGTTTGCACACATGTCGTCCTCTAAGAAAATAATAAATCTCCAAAATGCTGAGAAGTTTTCATTCATTAAATAGCAGCAGCATTGCCATCTTCTTCAAAACTGTTTTCTCTAATAAGAACAGTGATTCTGCAAAATTGAATAAAATTGTGCTTCAGATACATTCTATGCTTGGCTTATTGCTTCAAAATTTCTAAATATTAATTTATTTCCAGTTATGAGATGTAAAGCTCTAGTTTGCCATCTTATTAATATACATAAAATGCCAAATACCAGAATGTTTTTGAAAGTTATCTGCAATAGCCTGACTTGAAACCAGTTTTAAGCAATATAAATGAATTTTTTTCATCTTCAATGGTCTATGTATCCTGACCAAGGGGGAAACCTTCATAAAAGTTAAAATATTTGAAATATTACATATGATCGGTCAGAACACATCTATTTTATGGACACGTCTAGAGAAAATTTGGTTTTCTTGGAAGCATGAAGTATTAGTAACTATTTCAGGAATAAACTCAGAAAGCCTCATTATTCAACCTGTTTTTAACCTTCTGGTTAACATTTAACTGACAGTGGCTTATTCAAATAACATGAAGCAAGTTCGTGCCTTATAATCACCACTATAATAAACATCGAAGTCTAGACCAGCATAACCTGAAGAGATATTTGGAAAGGTAAGTCCCTAAGTCAAAAGGTATATCCCTCAGAAAGGGGCTTCCTTTCTACTAGGTATTATATTGCACTGTCTATAATAACTTTAAGAGGAAAACAAAGTCTCAACCTTACATGAAAGGGGGATTTAACCATATTTTAAAAATGAGTCTAACTCAAAAATAAATGTTCATAGTCCATGTCAAAGATCCATTAATGAATACCAACTTTACCAAAAATTGCTTAATCAAGTATGTGAATAGTATTTATAAGTTAGATATA